TGAAGATTGTACCTACTATTTTGTAAAAAATCTGATTGTATTTCTTGAATCATGTCTACATAAATCATATTTAGTATAAAAAGGTTTGACCTAACACAGAAAAGATCTTGCCATAATTTTCAATTTTTTAAATTTTTTAAAAATAACTTTTTTTGTCACACTTATTCATTATCCAGCTACCAGATCCATGACAAGTGACTGAAAAGACTATGACCTGAATCAGACAAACGTCAGTTCTCAAATTGGCCTCATTACTCCTCAGTAATTTGGAGAGGTCCCTAACTGCATATTTTTCCAGTGCAATGCATCTCCTTATTTCCTGACTGTTGGTATCAAGGGTGTTAATTGTGGATCGAAGCAAGATAAAGCTGTTGATAGTTTCAATCTCCTCTCGATCCATCCTGGAACTGCCTATTAGTCCAGTGTTAAGAATCCCTGTTTTCTTGACATTGAGACGCAATCCATACTGAAGGCTGTATTCCTTCATCTTGTGCAACGAGTGCTTCAAGTCCTCCTCACTTTCAGAAAGCAAGACTGTGTCACCTGTATACTAGAAAGTAGACATTTATTAACTTGGGTAAAAGAGAAGGCAACATGCAGTAAGGAAGAGGACAGCATGAAATTATCAAAGCAAAAGAAGAGATCGAAAGGATCATGACTTTAAAGGCACCAGAAATACATACATAAGTCTGAAATAATAGAAATTATAACGCTCAATGGAAACATAGACATACATGCTAAACCAATATGGGAAGGTGAATAATAAATAGATTTGATAGGGGATATTCTCACCTATGTATTTTCATGTACTGTAGATACATCCATAAATATGAGAGTATGCATGAGGTTAAGTCATAAAACCTTCTTAGTTATAACCAAACATCTGACAGTATGAATCCTTGGGCCTGAGAGCTCAGGACTATGGTCTCAGTGGGGATCATGAGAAGAACTTGGAACAACATAATCCACAAAGAAATTACCTTATAGCCTACTTCAGTGAGTAACAAATGGGGTCTTAAAAACTTGTATTTTTCAAAATCATTGCTCATGAGTGCTGTGTAGTATTCCATAGGGAGAATGTGCCACAAACACTACATAACTTGAGAGAGACTGAAGATCATTAAGCCGAGTGAACTAAATCTCATTAGGACAAATACTGCATATGACTATTGTAAAAATGTGTATGGGCATTCCAGGTGGGGAGGAGCAGAAAGGTGAGGATGCATGTGGGGGGGAATATTGCTCTTCTATTTTTTACAAAATTTTTTCTTTGATTTATATTGTCATATGTTGTTGTTGCTATCGTCGTTATGTGCTGTTGAGTCACCTGTAACTCATAGTGACCCTTTGTAGAAGAGCTCTGAACCCTGCTCTATCTTGAGCCAATTTCATTACCTCCAACACACCTGCCTCCATTATCCCAGCCATAGTCAATCCATTTCATCCAGGCATTTCCTCTCTTGCACTGTCTCTCCACCCTTCTAAGCATGACATTTCTCTCCAAGGACTGGTCCATCTTGGCAACATGCCCAAAGTATGCCAGTCAAAGCTCCAGAATCCTTGCTTCCAAGGAACAGCCTAGTTTTACCCTCTCCAGGACAGACCTGTTTCTTTCCCTAGAAGTCCATGGTATATTCCATACTCTTCTCAGCACCACAACTCAAGGATATTGATTCTCCTTCTATCGTCCTTAGTCGTTATCCAGCTCTCCGATGCATAGCAAGTAATTGCAAAGACCAAGCCTGGTTCAGGTGCACCTTAGTCTCTGGACTCTAGATTCTAGACTCATTGCTCTTGAGTACTCTAGAGAGGTCCCTGACAGCAGATTGGCCCAATGAAGTTAGTCTTTTTTATTTCCTAGCAGCTGGTGCGAAGAGTGTTGATTGTGGAGCCAAGCAAACCGAAGCTGTTGGAATTCTCCATCTCCTCTCAGTCTAAAATGATGCTGGCAATTGGCGCAGTGGTCAGAATCTTTATTTTTTTGATGTTGAGCTTCAATCCATAAAAATGGTTACAGTCCTTGATCATCTGCAGCAAATGCCGTAGGTCTTCCTCACTTTCACCCAGCAAGATTGTATCTTCTGAATAATATAATTTGTTGATGAGTCTTTCTCCAATCCTGATGATCCAATCCTCTTCATAGAGCTCAGCCTCCTGGATGATCTGTTCTGCACATAGATTGAAAAGGTATAGAGATAGGACACATACCTGGAGCTCACCTTTCCTCATTTTGAACCAAACAATGACTGCCTACCGGTCCAAGTATAGGTTTCACAGAAGCACAATTAAGTGTTCTGGGGATCTCATTCTTCTCAGAGTTAACCACAATTTGTTGTGATCCACACATTCAAATGTCTTTGCATAGTCAATGAAACACAGATAGACATTCCTCTGAAACTCTCTGCTTTCAGCTAAGATCCATCTAACGTTGGCTCTCATGTCCTTAGTGCCACAGCCTCTTCTAAACCCAGACAGCACATCTGGCAATTCTCTGTTGATGTGCTTTTCCAATCGTTCTTGGATAATTTTCAGCAGGATCTTGCTTGCTTTAAATATATTGCAATATGTTTTATAAATGAGTAAAAATTTATAAAAAGCTTATAAGTGGCAAGTTAATTCCTCTGTAACAAAGAAAAAATAAAAACAAAATCAACAAAGAAAAATGGACATACGGCAACAAATTAGTCCAAAGAACTAATGGACTATACAAGCCTCGGCTTTCATGACTCTGAGACTAGAACTATATGGTTCTTGGCTACCTGCCGACAGCTCTGAATTCACAATAGAAAAACAGAGTGGAAAAATATTGCAAAACAAATCTCAGAATTCTAAAATACACTAGGCTTCATGATCTGATTGATAGATATTGGTGGATCAGGTCTGGAACTGATCTCTCCACCTGTGGTTTAGTTTTCAACCACATTGTAGGCTGGTTCATAAGATGAACAGTGACAGCTGGGAGATAGGCAGTCTTAGAACAATCAACCACTAATGACCGAAATGGTACCATCTACCCAAGAGCAAAGAAAAGATACCAAGAAGGGATAGGAGGGCACAGCAGGAGAGGTGAAATGAGTGATGGTGCTTGGCAGGAATTACCATCAGTCGCAAAAAACAGAGTGAGTGCCAAAGTGTGCATAATCTGTTGAATGGAAAACTTGTTCTGTAACAACCTTCACCCAATTAAAATCTTAAACAAATTCTCTATTGACCTTATTTATAAAGTGGGTGGGGTTTTTTTCCTGTGATAAGAAACTTCTGAAATAAAAATTTGTAAAAGAAGTAAGTAATAATGATTTGATCCAGTTTGCTTCTAATGTGGATATTCACTCTAAACGTTTCTGGAAGTTAATTGTCCAGGCCATGTTAAGAATAACTACATTCCATGAGACAGTGTGCTTCATATTGGAACATTGTAAAGTCAAATCATGCTTTTTCCTTGACTAACACAGCACTTTAAAAATGTTTGACTGCATTTCTAAAAACTTTAACTATTTGGATCTATGATCCTCTTAAATTTCTCTGTTCTCAAAGTCTGTGTGTCAGATATTTAATGATCTTGCAAAATAATGTAAATGCAACAAGGGAGTTCTATTAAAACAATCCCTAGGGAATCTTTTTTATAAATGAAAGATTGCTGTTTCATCTTTAAAATATGTGTATTGTACTTGGACCATATATTATTAATGTTGACAAGGCTTAGACATAATCTGTTTCTAATATTAAAAAAATTTTAACATCTTCATATTATAATACTGTCAAATTGATTATGTCATTGGAGAGAAATCATGATTCTTTTCATTGCTTTTAAACTTAATTTGGAGAGAATTACTTTTGGTGATCATTATTACTCTGAATGTTTGTCCTAAAATGTGCCTTTAGGAAATCACTTAGACTTCACTACTCACCACTCTTATGTTTAGACTACTGCCTGAATTGAAGAGCTTAGGCTGTTTAACATGAATAATAAATGACTAGAATAATTTACAAGTTATGCATTTCAAATTTAGCCAATAACAAAGAAATACAATTTTACAGTAAAACATTGAATATAACCTCCTACAGAAGATTCATAACATGTGTACACTGAGGGGAGGAGTCCCACAGGGTAAACAGGGTGGTGGGAAATGGCAGGAATACAAACCTAAGGCCAAGGAAAAGAAAGTCATTGGCTCTGTCATGCTTCTCCAGGGGAAAAGAAGCATACAAAGGAGCAGTTACTCTCTTACTAACTGTAGCACTGCTTTCTCCATTCCTCACTTTTGAAAACATGAAATGGCTGCGTTTCGAATACAAAATCTTTAGGAGAATTTAATAAATTATTAGATTGCACGAGCTCTTTCAGAGACGTCAAAGCATGTGTGTCTGGAGACAATGTCATGTTTTCAGATAAGCACTCTTTGGAAATTCCTTGCTTAATACAGAGGGAAACCAATTACATTTGACTTGTGGTAAAATTATATATGTCATAAAAGAACATACGCTCCATTGATTTATTTATTTTTTTCCACCATTGTGGAGTTGATTAGGACATAACAAGTTATAGGGAGCTGTGATGACTTAGTCTGTAGGGAGCTTTTCTGTTTATCTAAGGCAAGACTCCCTATTGAGAAAGATAAGCTGTCTTCTCCCAGGCAGTTCTCCTCAGAAACTCATTGGAGGGTCAGCCATCAGTTGGTTCTGTCTCCGTAGCAGTGAGAGACTGTGTGAGAACAAGGCACAATTCAGGTCAGAAGCATTCAGGATGTGATTCTTTAGGCAGGATAGTCTCTCATCACGCATAATGACAGGAAGGCCTTGACTGATCAGTCTGGCCCCTTCCTCTCAGTGCTTGGCCAAATATAAAGCTCTTTTTACAATTATATACACCTTCCTCACCACCACTACCCCCCACCCACCTCTCATAAGATCTTTAATGACTTATTCCATAAGCATTAGGTTTGTACTCCAAGGGGCTCTCAATACAGAATGCCTAAGTTTAAAAATATGCTTCCTTCCAGGGGAGTCAGGAGTCAGGAAGCAGTCTCGGCATCGAGTCATCATTCAGCTTCCAACCAATGGAGGCCGGGACTGCGTGGACCCTCTCTATGAGGAGAAGGCCTGTGAGACTGTGCAAGTGTGTCAGAGTTACAGGTAACACAGCTATGAGAACGCTCATCATGTCCTTCAAGTTCATGGTCTTTTACATGATGAGAACAGGAAGCCAACAATAACCTGGCTTTTGGGGTGTTGATGTCTGTATGTGCCAGCTCTTAATTTTAGGAGAGCTTCTCTTCTACTAAGTCCCCCCAAGGAGATGATTACTGGTGTAAATTACCCAACTGTATCATTAGTTTGAGTATGGCGAGATTTCTTAAGTTGACATAACCTATAAAAAATGCAGAAAAATTATTAATATTAATGAAGCACAATACTTTAAAAAAAAAAACAAAAGGAAGCAATTCTTTCTCATTTATAGAAATAGCCTAAGCATGTCTCCCCTGGCACCAAAGAGCACCTGTTTCTCATAAACGCTGGCATTGTGGCTCATGAAATGACATCTTTATCTGAATGATGCTAGTAAGATAGCTGTTCTGTTCCTTTGGTGGCCACTCCAAACAAAATTAAGGTTATTGAAGCTATAGATCATCTTTATTAGAAACATTTTGACTCATTACCGTTAAAAAACAGGAAATACCTAACCGAAACCCACTGTAGGATATAATTGCAATTCTGACAACAAATGAAATACTGTGGCATCAAGTGGTGGCCCTTATCATTATAAAACACTAATTTAAGGTGAAATTTATTACAAATTATAATCATAATAAATCGATCAGAAATGACAAATAGTGTAACTATATGTTAAAATCATGAATGTAGGTATCTACGAGGCCAAATTTATTTCTTTTGAGAATCTATTTTTGGGAAGTGTAATATAATTGCTGTTCCTGAGTTAACACACAGTGTTAAACAAAGGAGCACGGTGCAATAACAAGGCTCATGTCTTGAATGCTGTTGCTTATCTCAAATACAAAGTGAATATACCTTATTAAAATGAAATGCATCAATTCTGGTGCTGATACCTCTTTTGGCAATTCTGATTATTAAAAAGACAAATGCTCTCTAGAGAATCTTCTCCTATAGAAATTCATAATAACATATTCTTTTCCTCAAAGAGAATAGTTTTTATCTGTAATACTGCTATTTATGATCCTTCTAGAGAAATCTTACTTAAATGTCACTAAATACCATATCTACATGTTTTAATGCTATTGATTTGCTCTGATTTGCCATCTACTATTTGGCTCCATTTTGCTGTTGTTGTTGCTGTTTTTTCTTGTAGATGGAAGACTCACAAATGGCGCAGGTGCCAGCTGGTCCCATGGAGTGTGCAGCAGGGCAGTCCTGGAGTCCAGGAAGGCTGTGGTCCAGGACGACAGGCAAGAGGTAAGAGGCTCCATTCTCCACTATCAATAGCATAACCATTTGCTTGATGAGTTTCACATTTGAATTTCAGGTATGAATCTGTTACTACAATTTCTACAAAACATATTAACTTGTCATTTAAAATTGAGTATTTGATTCTTTGACAGTAATTCATAATTTCTCATTTAATTCTTCAGCTACCAGACAAAGCTTTTGGAAAGGCTATTACAAAGATGGTAACACTGTAGTATGTTTATGTTTTATTTCTAGAGTAATGCAATCTTTAGCCTTTTTCCTGTCACCATAAAAATCATTAATGTCCTTCTTTCCTCACCTTTATGCATTATAAATGTGAATGCACATAATATAATTGATAATATAATTGGTTAACTCTCCCAGAAGTTCTGTAGTATAGACATGATTGTGACAGTTGTCTTCATATTCAGCACTGATTTTTTAATGACAGATTTATTTACTCAGAACTATGTGTGCTGCCATCTGTCAGCACGTCTAGATAACATGAGATTTTTTCAGAAATGGTGATGAAAATGTTTCAAACTTGCCATAATTATTTACTAGCTATAATAGAGAACACTTAAATCCTTTGACATGTGTTATTTATGCATGAAGCTAATTCATTGTTTAGAAAGTACATATATTAGTTTTACTCATAGTAGCTTATATAGCACATAGTTTCTGCTATGTATTTTAATTATGATTGAAATGTTATCACTTTTCTTTAACTCTGGAAAAATCTCTTTGTTTTTTCATCAGTAGTTATGTAGTTAAAAATGATAAAAAGCATGAACAGCTAGAACAGAATCTAAATTTTTGTTGATTTGATCAGAAGTATCTTTTCTTTAAAATGTAAAACTGAGAGATTTTTACTTTGTGAGAAGATTGTCATTTCTTTTGTAAATATATTATTTTTATAAACTTCATCTTAGAAGTCTTCTTTTAAAACATAACATTTATTTTTTGTTGGGGATTTATTTTATTCGTACAAGTTTTATTATGTATCCCTATGACCAACATTGAGGGGAAAAAATGTTTATCTTTACAATTACAAAAATTTAAGTTTTTATATAAAATCTCAAGGTAAGTACACTATTTCTACTCAATCACTGAGAAATGGAGAGATAAGAGAAGTCCTTACCTTTCCTTTTGACACAGGCATACAGCTGTGAACATATTGAGACTGGTATATAGTTTAAAATGAGAAAGGATATGATTTAGGAATCTGGAAACCTCCGTTACTGGTTTAGTTCCTACACTAATAAAGTGTGAGATGGGCTAATCCCTTCGCCCCTCTGATTCTCAAGTTACTTTTGGTTATTTTTTGTTGTTGGTTTGATGTTTTGTTTTGGTTTGTTTAGTTTTAAAAACAAAAGATTGTGAGGGCAATATTTTAAGACTATTTCCATTTTGACCTACCTCTGAGGAAGACTCTCTGCAGGATGGATTAGCACCATGACTATAACAATGAATTTAAGCACAGCAGAGGTTGTCAGGGTGGCATAGGATGGGACAAGGTTTCCTTCTGTTGTACATAGGGTTGCTGTCAGTTGAAACTGAGTCAGCCACACCTAAACCAACAACATAACCTGAAAACAACAACATAATATAGCAAGGGAGTCTGGAAATGCAATGGTTAAAGTCCATGGTGGTTGCTGCTTTCAAGGTCTGCAGAGGAAAACACACCTGCTGCTCCTGAGGAGAAAGATATGGAAGCCTGCTTCTGAAAAGGTTCAGCCTTATACACCCTATGGAGTCATTCTTCTCTGTCCTACAGAGTTGCTATGTTGTGATGTTATCATTGTTACGTGCCGTCAAGTCAACTATGGCTCATACTCACCCTATGGAAAAATAACTCTTAACTTTGCCCTATCCTGAGAAGCAGTGAATTTTTCCTTTATACCCTATGCACAAATAGTGCCTAGTAAACAAAGAATGAAATGAAATAGGTTAAAAAAAAGACTTTTTTATAGACTGCCACTGAAGAAAATCTGAGCCACAGTTTTTGTTGTTGTTGTTGTTGTTTTGTGTCGTTGAGTTAGAACTGACTCATTGCTGCCCTACAGCGAGTTTTCAGTCAGTTAATCACATAAAAGGAAAGGCCACAAAAGAGGAAAAATAACTTCCGTTCCAAATTCTATTACTTGCAGGCTTCATGTCCTTGCTAGATTCGTTTTCTCTTTTGGAGCCTAAGAACATAAAGAGCCTTAGAGTGTTTGACATATTAGTTCCTGATTTAATATAAATTTCTTTCTTGAAATATAATGACTTCAATGAATGTTCATATGTGTCCTATGAAGTATAAAATCATTATAATAGCATGACCCTTTTGTCTTTCTGACGTGTTAAGAAATTTTAAAAAGTTCATCAAGTTGATTCTGACCCACAGCAATCTTATTTGGGTTGGATTAGAACTGTACTCCTTAGGGGTTCTATGGCCAATTTTTTCAAAGATGGTTTGCTAGAGTTTTCGTGTGACGCACCCTTAAGGGACTTGAACTTCCAGCCTTTACGGTTAGCAGCTACATGCATTAACTGTTTGTACCACTGAGAATATAAAACATGATTATTTCAATGACTACTGGTGGTGATAGAATGACTGACATAGGGACAGCCATGTACAACCATCTCTATGCAAGTGAGAATATTCCCCATCGATAACATCCACAACAGAAAACGGGTGATTACGAGGTCAGATGTGCCGCAAACCCCTGCACCTATATCTAACTATTCTAACACTAACTCTTCCTTCCAGGGCTCTCACTGCTCTGATACTGGTTCTGATAATCTATTGAAATGGCCACACAGAACTCTGAGAACCACACTCATGGTTATGAGGTTTATTAGGAAAGTGAGCAGTTTACAATTCAAGTTGGAAACAATCCAGTTCTGCATTCAGGAAAGTTTCTCAAGTATGCCCACAGGCTATCGGACCTTCATCTTTGTGGCTTTAGGTCATTATTATAAAGCTTTCCAGTTTAGAGTTTCCCATCCTCACTAGTCCCTCTTGAAAACTTGGGCTCTGACTTGTGGGACAGCAGACCCGAGTCAGTTCTATCTCATGTTTGTCTCTGGTTCTCTGCGGTTGCTGCAGATTTGATTCTTCTGTCTCAGTCTTGTGCAAGAATCTCTGACTCCGAAGGGCAAGTGCTGCATTCTGTGTTTTTTTCTTTCTTGCTGGTAATGGTATTCACATTTTCTACACTGTTCAAATTTAACTTGGTGGAATGGCAAAACTGACCAAACTTCTCATTAATAGCCTAAACACTTGTTTGCATGTTCTCACACATCCATGTGGTAAAAGTCAAAGCCAAAGGGGTAGGAGATCCATTTTTTAAGAATCTATATCTGCCCCTTGCCGAAACTGAGGAGGACCTCATGCACTTGCTGCAAAGGGTCAAGGACTGCAGCCTTCAGTATGGACTGAGGCTCAATGTCAAGAAGACAAAGATTCTCACTACTGCACCAACTGGTAGCATCAGGATGGATGGCAAAGAGATTGAGATTGTTCACAGCTTCAGTTTGCTCAGCTCCACGGTCAACACTCTTGGCATCAGCAGCCAGGAATCAAAAAAAAAAAAAACATCGCAATGGGAAAGTCTGCTGTTAGGGACCTCTCTAAAATACTCAAGAGCAACGGTGTCTCTCTGGAGACTAAGGTGCTCCTGATAAAGGCCATGGTCTTTGCAATCACTTGTTATGCATCAGAGAGTTGGACAATGACTAGGGAGGATAGAAGGAGAATTGACGCCTTTGAGCTGTGGTGCTGGAGAAGAGTATTGAATGTACCATGGACTGCCAAGAAAACAAACAGATTCATCCTAGAGAGGGTTAAACCAGGCTGCTCCTTGGAGGCAAGGATTCTGGTGCTTCGCCTGACATGCTTTGGACATATTGTAAAGAGAGACAGGTCCTTGGAGAGGGACATCATGCTTGGGAGGGTGGAGGGACAGCGCAGAAGGGGAAGATCCTCTATGAGGTGGATTGACTCAGTGACTGAGGTAATCGGGATGGGTGTGTCAGAGGCAGTGCGATTGGCACAGGATAGAGCAGGTTTTAGGGCTGTAGTACATAGGGTCGCTATGGGTCGCAAACAGCTCGATGGCACTTAACAACAACAACAACAACATGTCTGCCCCACATTGTCTTTAACCTAATCTAAGAGCCCTGATTCAACTCTCTTCTCATGGACCATTTTGTAGCATCTAATACTGTTATACCTTCTGTTTATGAAAAACAGACTCTGGCTTCCTCAATGCTATCATTTTCTGCTTAATAATTCCATTCCCAGAGTCCTATTACTGGTGTCTCTTCCTAAACCTCTTGTTAAATAATGCTTTGTCATGTTAGCATACTCCTCAGGCAATTTATTCCATTTTGGAAATCCTAGGCACTATCAGTATATCTGAGAAAAGAGTGTATTATATAGCAAGTAATTGTTTTAATAAATACATTCAGAAGAATCCTTTAGAATTTTACTTTTTTGCCAAAGTAAACAGTGTTTGATCGGTTAACATTTTTTTTTTTTATTGGAATCTTTATTTCTACAAGAGGGTACTGGTGTCATGGTTCATAGGGAAGTGACACTGCTATAGTTTTCCAGGAGTTTATTAAATCCACCAGCAGCAAATGGGAGAAAGATAAGACATATCCTTTCATAGGATAAGAGATCTGTCAAAGGGTCACCTCTGACTTAAGTGAATGAGTGATATTTCTACAGAAGCAATTAATGGGGAAAATTCAGAGTATTGAAATACCTTTTGTTAATGAAAAGTTTGTCATAGTATCCATTGGTAGTACTTTGGTGTCCCATATGTTGATGTGATGCTATAAATTATGCCACCAATGTTTTAAATACCTGCTTGGTCACCCATGGAGGACAAATTACAGTGGATTTTCTAGATTAAGACAGACTAGAAAACAGAACTTGCCACCCACTTCTGGAAGAAAGAGGCTTTAAAAGTCTGTGAATGGTAGCAGAATATTGTCTGATATCCGGTGCTGAA